GTGAGACATGCTCCCTAAAGCTAAACCGAGAGGAACAAGCCATGGAAGAGCAGAGCAGAGACCACTGCAGTCCGGGTGGGGGTCGTATGGCACCTGTGGTTTATAGACAGCTTTAGTCACGAGTATTTCAAAACATAGTTCACAGTTTTAAGAAGATCTGTGCTGATTTTAAAAACTAGATTCTATATAATTTGCACGTTGTCTTATTTTGAATATGATCTCTATTTGGAAAAAGTATTTACACTAAATTCTATGGCTGATTCGCTAGACTATCTTGAAAGAAAACAACCTCCAGTTGGAAAGAAGCCCCACAGACTGGGTTATCCCGGCGTGTTTGGCTCCAGTCGCTGCTCACAGGACTTGGAGGCCCTGGCAGACAGTGCAGGCCCCGGCCCTCCGAGCCTGCACACTCAGGACCCAGGTCCTTCAGGGTCAATGAATAATTGCAAGGGGTTGTTTTGTCCCAATTACTGTGGAAAACAATGCACATCGTATAATAAACTGGTTTGCTAAAATCTCAAAGAATTCAGAAATCAAATCCTACCTATAAACAGTATTAATATTGTCATTGTAAACGGAACAGGTTCAATATCATGTGCAAATGATATTGAAAATGCTTGTTAATACTGCCATCGTGAGTAACAGCAGCGTGGGTTTTTGTTTTGTTTTTTTAACCAGGGATGAGCCATGTTATCGAAGATGTAGCTGATAAGTTAGCTTTGAACAGAAGTCTTTTTTTTTTCTTCCCTTCTTAACACACACACCAATGAACTACACATCAGAGAACGAAACATTAGCTGCACTACAGTCAGCAGAGCACGTCTTTAGGGGCGGGTGTGCCGGGAGCTGCTGCGCGGGGTGGTTCCTCTCCCAGTCGCTGCCAGGCTGCTTCTCCTCTGGGTGGGTGGTGGGCGCAGCGCTCCCCTTCGTCACCAGCGCTCATGTTACTCTCATCATCTGTCTGACTATAGTTTGCCTGGGAATAAGGAATGTGTAATTTTTTTAAAGATGAAAACTGTTCTCTAAGTCAGGAAGCTTAGGGAACCTCCCTTTCCCCCGACACACAACACACACACACACTCTCACACACATGCACACACACACTCTCTCTCTCTCACACACACACACACACACACGCACACGCACACGCACACGCACACGCACACCCTCTACTCACTTCCTCTGATAATCGGGGATGAATGTCTTGGGGTAGTGTGTGCTATGTATTGTACCTTCTGAAAGAGGACAAGAACCTCCTGTTGAGTCCCCTGCTCAGTGGGGACTGAGAATATATTTTTTCTAAGAAGTCACTACTGATGTTTAAATAATGGGCCCCTGTGGCCCCTGGGGGTTAGAGTGACGCAGAGCTGTCCTTTGGACAAGGAGATGAGAGCACTGGCTCACCAGCAGAATGCCCTGCTCATTTTTTTAAAAATCCACTTTTGATCTTCAAATCCCCCAATTTCTGAAGCTAGGCTCTGGCCGGCCGGGGAGAGTGCAGTCGTATGCGGCCAGAGGGCTGGAAAAGGACAAATCCAAGATCTGAGTGGGCCCAATGGAGCTGTGGTGGACTCCGTGTTGAGTGCTAACCCTTGTGTATACATTTCTTCTGAAGTGGCCAGTGGAGAAGCAGGAAACCAGGTGTTCTGGCTTTTTGTGTTGCTAAGTGCACATTCACCTTCAAATAGGCCTCAGGCTCTTTTTGAGCAGAGGATGGGCCTCCCCTGCCTCTGGCGTCCCACCTCGTGGCCTTTCCCCACGTGGGGCTCGGTGGGTGGAAGCCAATGAACTCTGAGCTGATGAAGTCGGCTGCCTTTAGGACCCTTGGGTCAGAGGTGCCTATCCTGTGGGATAATTTCTGGTCTTGCCGTACAGTCAAAAAGTCAAATAGATTTAAAGACCATGAGCTGCTCTAGAATTCCAGCTGTCTTTCTAGGCTACGTCCAGACAAACTGCAGGGTTCTGTCGGGTTGTAAATGAATTTTGCCCGAGTGGTTGATTCAGTGACAGGCCGGCTCACGTTTAGAGTCCTGTGAATGCCATCTAGGCAGGTACAGGATGCAGTAAATGGCAGAGGCCACAGCTGTGTTATTTGCTTTTACTGCCAAATTTGTAGCAAAGATGAAACATTGCCCAGGAACTTTCAAAGTACTGAAATATGTGGCTTTTAGGTACAAGAACCAAATGCCACTTTTTATCTGGGTTCACATCAAGGACAATTTATTAGGCTTTTAAAAATATATATTTTTCTAAGAAGTCACTACTGATGTTTAAATAACACGCAGAACAAAAATAATCAAATTGCCAGAGCTCAGCGAAGGAGACTGCTATTAAAGGAAAAAGCTCGCTCCTCTGGGACTAGCTTTGTTAGAACTGGAGCGAATATTTTCAGAAACAGCTCCTGAGAATGTTTTCACTGTAGTTGTAAATGTATCAGGAGAGCAGAAGGCAATGAGGTCAATAAGATCCTTCCATTCACACCGAAAGGGCCTCACAGACCCAAAAGTATACTCCATTGTAGCAATTATGCCATGAATTTTACTTGCTCAGTCTTAACCTGAGGACTGAGACAGGAGGTGTGTAGTGTGTGAGCTAGAGTGTACTCTTTACTAATTGATGCCACAGCAACCCAGCACTGACTTCCGGTCTGGTCGAGCCTTCGGTCGTAATCGGTCGTTAGGACCCTGGCTCTTTATTATATAGATCACACTTTGATTGGTTGAATGGATGACCAGACACTTAGCATATTAGGCTTTTATTATATAGGAGATATATATCTCCTTTTACAATTTAGCAGCCAGAGTTGAGTTTACTATCAACTACAGACTTATGGGATTCCATGGTTGGAAAAGACCGCATAACAGCAGTAGATATGAGTCCTTGGGCCAGTGCAGCCAGATAACTGAGAGAGGTATTAGTTTTGATCTGTCATGAGGGGCATTTAAGTGGCCACTAGCTGGGGCCAGAGAAACCATCTGGACGTAGGGGACAGTGGAGCTGAAGGTGTATGGAACCACTGCACATAGCTGAGCCCTAGCTTTGTTTATAAAAAGTAGCGGGAGCAAGCTGGTTCTGAGTCCCAGGGGTTCCCGTACGCCCACATCATCGCTACAGCAGCTCCCATGAATCACTTATAAGGCGCTGAGCACAGTGCCAGGCCCGTAGTGTGCTCATCAACGTTAAGGTCTTTAAGAACCGGAGTCTCCTCTGTGGTGTAGGTATTATCATGCATGTTGTGCAGAGGGAGTGGAGGCTCACAGAGGTCCCCTAATTCGTCCGAGGTTATGCTGCTCGGATTTGCGGAAGCTCCCACTTGAACTTGGGTAGATTAGGGACCAGAGCCTAAGCTTCAGACCACCACCCTCCATGGTGCTGCCAGTCAAGTGCTGTTCTCTCTCCATTAAACATTCCCTGAGGATTTCCCACATGTGTAGGTAGGTGGGCAGGCCCTTGGGGGAAAGGCTCACATGCCATATCAGTGACTGCACCCTCCTGAATTCCACAAAGGGTTTGAACCAGCTATTCCCAGCATAAAAGGCTGCAGAAGTTTTCCCCTGTGTCGTGCTGCTTTTATTTTTGCCTTTGTTTCGGTTTTGCTTTCCCTTGTTAAGGACACCTCTCTGACATGTTGGGCCCTGAGGACAGCAAGACCAAGGCGTCTCTGGAAGTGCTGAGCGCGCCTGGACTGTTGCTTGTGTTGGGCCCCGAGGACAGCAAGACCAAGGCGCTGACCCGTCTCTGGAAGTGCTGAGCGCGCCTGGACTGTTGCTTCTCAGGGGATGGAGAGGCTCAGACTCGGGTGCTCTTATGGACTGGTGATGTGGCTACGTGGCCCCGGAAAACTTCGGGGGCATATCTGGTGTTGGAGAAGTTTCTGTGCCATTTCCCCTAATGAATAGAGTTCAAAAGCCAGCTCCCGAGGTCGTTTGCCAAACCTCCCCGGGGCGTAGTGGGATGCCCCATAGACTGGGCTGGGTCTTTGACAAAAGCAGGGAAGGAGGGTATTTTATCACAGAGAAACGCCTACGAGAGTGACTGTGAACTTAGGTTGCAAGTTATGAGAATTGAGTGTACAGTGGCCACGTTTCCTCCTAAATCAGAGGGTACTTACTTGAGAGGAGAGTGATAAAAGGATATTGTATTCAACCTTGCAAGCTGACCTGCGGGTGACAAAGGACACAAACAAGAAAGGTGACATGTCAAGTCTGTGATGCAGTCAAGCAGGTGAATTATTTTGTCGGAAGCCATGCACAAAGACAGAGAAAGAGAGAGAGAGTCCAGTGAATGACAGCAGCATCTGAGCCACCAAACAACCATCATCTATAAACACAAGCTCACAGAGCCGTCCAGGAAAACCTCTACAACGTTCTCCAGGGCATATGCCTTGAGTGGGGACACACGGGCCTGTTATAATCTCCTAGCCCCTTTCGTCGCCTTTCCCTTGAAGTCACCAGGCATGGAGAGGAAAGGAGAGAGAGAGGCTTAAGATTTACCAGAGATGGCAAAAGCTCCAACTGGATCTTAAGCCACTGACAGAATTTCCCTTCATCCTACTCAGACACGGTTAAATTCCTAATTCATTAAAACAACAGCAACAGAAATCGAATATGTTATATGGAATGGCTGCCTCCCTTTAAAATAAAACCTAGAGCCTGGCCAGCATGGCTCAATGGTTGAGTGTCGACCTATGAACTAGGAGGTCACGGTTCAATTCCCGGTCAGGGCACATGCCCGGGTTGCGGGCTCCATCACCAGTAGGGGGTGTGCAGAAGGCAGCCGATCAGTGATTCTCTTTCATCATTGATGTTTCTATCTCTCCCTCCCTCTCCCTTCCTCTCTGAAATTAATAATAAATAAGTAAATAAATAAAATAAAACCTAGAAATCCGGTTACTGTTGCCACCCAAATCCGGAAACTGATATGAGCTCCAAGATGGAGGCCTACCAGGCGCCTCCAACAGCATGAGCCAGAGTATTGATGATTTCACTGTATCTCTCTCTCCCTCTAGGCAGGAGCGCCAAATGAGCCATGTGCGAACATCCCTCAGATTCCCACGCACACCCTGGCAGCTTCGTCCAGGCAAATTTCCTCCTGTGGATGGGGCCATGGAAATCACAAAGAAAGAGCCTTCCCCGTGGGTCTGGACCTTAGGCGACTTTGTCTGCAGAGCTGAAGCATGGCATTACATATCTAGTCACTGGTTTGGCTATTTTTTATGACGAGACCCACATGCTACTTGCTTCTGAAATGTGGGTGTTAAGCCACAAGGGCGGATGGAACACCCCAAAGAGGCCAAACCTTTGCTTCCTGGTGTTGGGGTGGGGCTGAGGGCTTCAGTTGTCCTCTTGCTACATTCTTCTTGGGAAAATATTTCAAAACTTAATTTATAAACATATGGGAAATAGAAGAGACTTTGTTCTCTCTGCTACTCTTTTACTAACAGAGAGAGCTGCTGCTGAGCTAAGAACATGGAGAAAGCCTGACAGTGAAATAACCGGCTGGGGCCTGGGGAGCAGCAGGTCTGACAGGCTAACACCCCTGAACTCCCTGAACCCCAAGAAAACAGGGTGGGCTACAGGGAAAGGAAACAGACCAGAAAGACCCACATGGCCGTGGCGCAGCCTCTGCGGGGAGAACGCATCCCTTTAGGATGAGCTACTGCACCTGTTACGTTCAGTGGATTCTCAGGTGGATGAGTGTAGTCCAGTCTATATGACAATCTGTCCATCCACACTCTGCGGATCCTGGGGCCTGCAGCCCCCCAACACGCCTCGGCGAGGTTTGTCGCTTGCCTGCTACTTACATTTCCCATGAGGTAGGTGGTGAGGGAGGCTGAGGACCAATGAGGAGATATCTTTATGCTGATTCAGTTGCCTTGTGCCAGATCAAGGCATAAAGATATCTCCTCATGTCCCATCTATGAGGACAAGCGTCTTTGCTGATGATCCAGGAGGGGTATGGACTGTTAGTCACCAGGTTTCTGCTGTGTGACAAGACCCCCTTTCACTTTCCAGATCAGAAGTTATCACACAGGGAGAGTGATGGCTATAAGAAATAGTTGGAATTTTTAGTGTCTAGAATACATGGACTAAGGAGTACAGTCAGAGTATTCCAGAAAGGGAGGGTGGGAGGAAGAAGGCACTGGTTTATCCGTTATGTAAAAGACCCAGCCACCTCGGGGCTGGGGCGGAAGTGGGGGATGGTGTGGGCTGGCCCCGGTACCTGGTAGGCCTCGTCCTGCAGCTTCTGTTTCAGGTATTCCTCCATCTTGAGCTCGTTCTCCAGCTGCCGGACCGAGTCATTCTCGTAGTTCTCCTCCTCAGGCCGCGCATAGGAATCCCCATCTTCTGTGACCCTGGGAACGAACCACAGATAGGGTTTTGGAGCAAATCTTAAAGGGAAAGTCTAAGTGAAATTCATATGTGAGCTGTAGTTTGCAGGGAACATTTTATTTGTCTTCCAATTCACTTCAATTCAGTGTCTTCTGTTATCAAACAGAAAACTTAAAAAAAAAACCACCTTTGGAAATGTAGGGAAATAGATGGTCAAGGCATTCCCGTGCAGTTTTCCTATGGCGCTGTGGTGATCCTAGGTCATCCATGTTTTTCTAGGGTTTACAGGAATGAGAGCCCTTTCAATGTTTGTCAGTCTTAGAAAAAGCAGCTTATCTTTCAGGAGGATATAGTTTTCCTGATATGGGGATTTTTAAAAAAATTTATAAATGGAATCCAAGAACGCTTTCTCTAAGGAAAGTGAGCCCTCTAGTGAAATAAAGCTTGAGGACATTTGTTCCTAATTTAACCTTCTCTGCATTCTGCATGCGTGTAGGTGTGCTTTATTTTCATAGTAGGATCAAGTCTCAGAATATCAACCAATCATTGTCAGCAAGCGTAACACTCTAACCCACAGCTCTTGATCTCAAAGATGTATACCAGCTCTAAATCTAAGAAATCCACTTAAGTTGTCCAATTTCACTATGAAGTAGATAAGAATGACCTCCTTTACCAATGTGTGACTATCTCCATCTATTGGCCCCATATTAAAACACCCTCTAAAATGAAGAGTGGTCAAGGAGAAGTTTCTGGAGGGGAACTTAAATGCCATGGCTAGTGTTTATTTATATCTGTACAACATGTTCTCATTATTTTTAGAGGTCTGGGTTCAACATGAATAGGTCTGCGAGGCCTCTGTGAGCTTTCTCTACCCAACTCCCGTGGCCGGAACCGCCACCAGCATCCTAGGGACAGTAGTGTGGGGTGGCTTTAGCTACAGTCTTGGATCTTAGGATCCGAATGAGAACATTTTAAGTAACCACCTTGTAAAAGGTTAATCATAGGAAGTCAAATGGGTATGTGTTTACTAGACTAAAACTGGTGATAATGACTTCACCATTTTGAATAACAAATAATTCTCAATGACAGAGGAAAGGACAAGAGAGCCAACTAAAATTAAAAGCAGCCCCGTTAAATGACGTTATAACTGATGTGTTCTGCTCTCACGCTCGGCCTCTCCGCAGCTGGCTTCCCCAGCATGTCTATTTATACTTCCCCATCGTGACTGGTCAGTCTTTCACTCCCTGCTTGGATTGGGAGCCAAAACACCAGGAAGGCCTCTGTTTAGTTTCTCCTTTGGGTCTTTAAACAGCCGTTGATTTTTGTAGACAAGTCCTCAGTACTTTTCACAGGAAGCACCATCACCTTCTGTAGTGGTTTGGAATGGTGAGCAATTCCCCTTCCAGCCTTGTGGTGAACCTCTGCCCACGCTGATCACAACCCCGTGAACCCCACTCTCCGAGAGGCCCCTCCTCTTCCCCGTCTTTGTTTTCCTCTTTCCCCTCCCACGCTGGGCTCTGCAGCTCTGGCCTGTGTCACCCTCGTTTCTTAGCTTCACTGAACGTCTAGTGGGGACGTCACTGATTCTGCTGGCTTCTGTCAGGGCACAGAAGCCTTATTGGGTGAAAACCTTTGCAAAATGTCTTTTAAAGGTCAGATTTGTACATATTCAACAAGTCAGCCACATTGGATTTCTTTATAATGAGATTTTATACATTTACAGTCTCGTGCCACATAACGAAGCTTTGGTCAAGGACCCACCGTACATATGACCGTGGTCCCATCTATATATATAAAAGCCTAAGTGACCATTATGATGGGTCGACCAAACGACCGGTCGCTATGATGCGCACTGACCACCAGAGGGCAGATGCTCAAAGCAGGAGCTGCTCTCTGGTGATCAGTGTGCTCCCACAGCCAACCTTCCGTGGCCGGCCAACCTCCCATGGTCCCTCCCCTGGCCGGCTGGCCCCAATTGGCCCTGATCGCTGGCCAGGCCAAGGGACCCCACCCATGCATGAATTCGTGCACTGGGCCTCTAGTGAGATTATAATGGAACTGAAAAATTCTTATTGTGTCCTGACATCATTGTTGTCATGTGTTTGTGGTGATGCTGGTGTAAACTGACCTACTGCTCTGCCAGTTGTATGAAAATACAGCACATACAATTATGTACAGTACATTATACTTGATAATGGTAATAGGTGACTGTGTTACCGGTTTATGTATTTACTATATGTTGTAGTGTTATTTTCTACTTATAAAGAGTTTTCTGTTAAACAGTATGCTGTGTTATGGTGGCAGTGCCCCTAACATCTCCTGGTCACCTTGTCTCTGATTGCATCAATTTCTCTTGTGCTTGATTTAACCTGATGTTATTTTCTACAGCGACACACTGTAGAGGCTTGTGGCCTAGGAGCAATCGGCTGTACCATAGAGCCTAGGTGTGTAGTAGGCTGGATCACCTAGGTTTGTGTAAGCGCACTTTATGATGTTTGTACAATGACAAAGTCGCTTAACAATGCACCTCTCAGAACATATCTGTCATTAAGTGGTGCGTGACTGTATATATTTCGATTCCTATTGCTTATATGATGCTGTTCATCCTGTTCTGAAGAGAAGCCTCCAGCATCATTGGGTCCTCCAAGTGCAAATACGGAAGATTCTGAAGATAAGATGACTGACCTCCTAAACTGGTCTGTGAGCCCTGGAAGGTTGGGAGTGATTTAAAAAAAAAATACTAGTTTGTATCAAACCAGCACAGTTCCTTAGGGGAGCCAGGCTCTCAATAAGAACTGGTTGTTTTGGTTACTGATACTCTCTGGAAATTGTGAGGGGAAGTCACAAGGCCAAATGCAAACGTAGCCCCTTTACCTCTTCTGTCAGAAAAGGAAGCTGCATCATCTCTCCTCAAAAGAAAGATCAAAACAACCATGTTTTCATTTTTTTTTTTTTTGCTCCTGACAGTGTCCTGTTACTGAGGCAATACCCCCAAGCAGAAGATACTCACACATCACTGCGCATGGTGCCTGGGGCAGCTCCACCGTGCATGTACCCGGGTTTCCGGGCGTGGATTTGCGCTAGGAAAGCCTTTTCCGAGGTTGGTGATGGAACCAGATCCTCAAACTGAGTCCTTGCAAACTCAGAATCCACATTACTCTCCGTTTCACTCCCCACCTCTATGAGGTACAATTGAAGAAAGAAAGAATGACTTGTTAGAGTCTATGATCAGCAGGTACAGGGCGAGGCTTAACATAAACCAACCTGCGCTGCATAAAATATTAGCCAGTTATTGTAAGTCAAGTAAGTGTTTATTTCAATTCCAAATGAGAATGGAAACTGAACATGAGTCACTATAAAATCATTTGGTATACAGCATTGTATATTTTTTTTTAAGTATCGGTAATGTTATAAGGAATCTTTTGTGTCTTAATAAATTACAACTTCTGTTTTGCTTCTATATAGTCTTCAGTAAAACTGCTAGTTTTGCTTAATGTTACTTTAATTTAGGAAATATAAACCCAAAGTATTGCATTCACTTAATATTTCAGAGCATTATCTATAATAATAAAAGCATAATATGCTAATTAGACCAGACAACCTTCTGGACGAAGCTGGGGCTGTGAGGGAAGCCCACGTCCCAGGTGCCTGCTGGCGGCCAGAGGGAAGCCGGTGCCGGCAGCCAAGGGAAGGAAGGCCTACTCTTGCATGAATTTTGTGCATTGGGCCTCTAGTAAGAGTATAAACTAATAGTACTTGAGAATTCTACAATAAGAATAACATTTTTAGTAATCTCCACGATATATTAACTACTGCCATTTTTATCCAATTTGGTAATCTTAATCTAATATAGCAGCAACAAGTTTCATTACTTTAATTCTTATTATAGAGATTTTAAGAAATTTAAATCCCAATTTTTGTAATATTGAAGTTTTATTTCTTATAGTTGTTGTAATCTCAACTACACGAACAGTCAAATATCTTGCTATGTGTGCTTTAAGGAACAGATGAGATGCATGAGTAACTGGTAGGATAATTATTTGAATATTCATTATTTGAATGACATTTTTTAAAGGTCTGTGTAGCATTATGAGGATAAAGAGACTCTCACAATTTTGTGCTATTTATATTCTGGGCAGATCTACCTTTAGAGATACTGCAAAGGTAAATTTCAGGTTAGCCTCATTCAAATAGCCATACATTTCCAATGAACAGAGTCTAAATTAGTAAATAAAACATCTGACCTTATGAAATCACTTCTGTATCTTGTCACATGAGAGATGTTAACAGTGACTCTCTTGGCTTCTTGAATTATAAGTCAATTTAAATATTTTTTATCTATTCTTTTCTACACTATTAAACTTTCTGCATTAAGCATGTATTAATAATCTTCTCATCAGCTAATAGAAATATCAGTTAAAAACCTGAATATGGCAACCAAATATCACATAGATCTTCAAGAAAACCTTTGTATATTCGACAGTGAGCAGATCTCTCACAGAAGCCCCGAGAACTATTGGGTTCCTCTGCAAAGAGCAGACAAATGAGGGGACCAGGGACACACCGGAGTTCAGCTCTTTCACCAGAGAGGACATGGTGTTAGTGATGGAATCCGCGGCCACTAGCAAGTCATTCCTTAGGTTTCTTCTTGAACCTTAAGTGAAGAAGAAATGACAATAAATAAATAAAAATCGAAGCTTTTCCTTTTCCCGAAATTTTAGGCTGTTGATCATTTCCAAGTCCATTCCCAAGTAAGAAACATTCCACGGCGTCTCCTTCACAGATGCGCTGTGGTCACTTCCTGGAGAGAAGGACACTGTGCTCAGGGCCGTGGCCTCTGGCGTAGGAAGACATGGCCACCGATGGGGGTTCATGTAATTTAGTGTCCAAACTGGGACAATTACGCAAGCGAATGAGGGAGGTGTGAGTAATAAGACGGGGTGACCCAGGTAAAGCGGTGTGTGTGATGGCCTTTCTGAAGAACAACCCACACAGACGAAAGTCCAGCTTTTGCCAGGAGAGCCGCACCTTCCTAGCTGCTACGATCATTTCAGCCACTACCTGGTGGCCAAGCCCATGGGATTCTATCTCTATCACCGCAGCCCTTGCATCCAATCAGGCCTCCCCGAGCTCCCCCTCCCCTTACGGGTACTTCGTGGGAATGGGAGCCCTGTGTACTGAACGCCCCAGAGCACGGAAAAGAGGTGGGGATTCTTGCTCTGGATGCAAGGCATGTGCACAGGATGTATGTCCGGTACCCTGAACTGTAACTCAGCCCATGTTTCTTCATGGTAGAGAGAGATTAGCATGCTGTTCCAGGCACACTGAGGGTGAGATGGGTCTCTGTGGGCTGGCCTGGGGACAGGCAGGGCTGAGATGGAACAGAGGGCTGATCACCATCATCTCTGGGGAAAAAGGGACCAAGATTCCAAATATCTGACTTACAGATGAATGTATGCAGCACAAGCTCTTTGTGAGCTTGGCCACATTTCATTCTGTCACTTCTCAGAAAGTACAACTAAATTGGTGAAAGGATAGATACATGAAAATTTAAAAAATCCAAGTAGTTAGATGAAACAGTAGTTCTAATAGGAAGCTCAAACTGATTTAAAATGTCCTTAAAGTAAGATTTAGGGAAAGGACATTTTTCCTTCTAAAAATTGAAGTAAAACCTAGTTATTCTGTATAACTTAAATTATTTTCTTTTTCAGGAGAAAAAGCCCTATTATGGATCGTCCCTTTCCCCTCATAAGAGAGAATGCATCATTCTTCCCCTTGTAAAATGTCAGATTGTTGTCCCCACACACAATGGGTGAGAGGGCCGGTTCCCTCACACTTTTCTATATCTGGATATTATTGATTTTTTAAACATCTTTTCATATTGTTATTGGCCATTTATAATTTCTCTCTGTTCATATCCTTCACCTATTTTTATTTTGGGGATGTCTTCTTCTTACTGATCTCTACATGCTTTATGTCTAACGGAAATGATAAAACTTCACTGCCATATATGTTGGAAATGGTTTACTCAAAACTATTTTATTTTTGGTCTTCTGACTTTTTGCCTTTGGATAAATTCCCAGAAGTGGAATTGCTGTCTTTCTTGACCTCAGATCCATAGGTAGGAACCTGGAAAAATGCCATGATAAATTGGTAATTTAAAGAAAATGCAAATTATGAACCAAAATAAGCATTAGCTTATTTGTGTGAAAAATAAAGAGTATATGTCTATACAATACACTTAAACATATCTATCTATGTATCTATAAGTGAAAAGTTGAGAAGGACCAGACTATTAATAGTGTTCACTTCTAGGAATGAGATCAGCAGGGTGAGGGTCTGCAGGAGGATTCCCTACCGCCCCGCCCCCGCCAATTTTTTCCAAATTTAAAAAATAACGGCAAGAAAAGTTTTAAAAATTGTTAAAATATTTTCAAATGAGTAAAATCACTTGCCTTGGGCTACGTCCACACCATGAGTGTGTAAATGGAAGAGGCCACCAGTGAGAGAATGCTGTTTGCCACCTCCCTTCAGCTTTGCGCTCCTCTCTTAACTTCGGAGGCCTAACTGGGTAGACCAGTGGTTCTCAACCTTCCCAATTCCAGCCACCCTTTAATACAGTTCCTCATGTTGTGGTGACCCCCGATTTCATTGTTACAAATTGAACATAATTAAAGCATAGTGATTAATCACAAAAACAATATGTAATTATATATGTGTTTTCCGATGGTCTTAGGCGACCCCTGTGAAAGGGTCGTTCGACCCCCAAAGGGGTCGCAACCCACAGGTTGAGAACTGCTGTTCTAGATACTAGTCCTTTGTTAGACATGTAACAAAGGTCTAGTATCTATTGTAAATATTTTCTTTCAGCCTATAGGTTGATTTTCATCCTCTTAACTGGGGACTTTCATGCTAAATATTCCTCTTTAACAAACGAAATATGTTAATATTTACTTTTGAGCTAGCTTCCCATGTCCTCTCATGTATTCCCCTGCCACAGAGAAGATGAATGCTCCAGGGCATCTAAAATTATTTTTAATTCACCGATGTAAAATGTAACCTAGACATAATAGGAGGATGAAATACAAAATTAAAAATTATTTTTTGAAAAAGTTACTCTGAAGAAAATAAAACAGGATTAAAGGAAAATAAAAAAGCATAATAGGTTTAAAAAAATACTCACACTCTCACTACCTCAACCCAACCAGGACTGTGTATTGTAGAAGGAGCATAAACACTAATATAAAGGAAATAGTGGGGCCAAAGCTATTCATGGGATTAGGAAACGACATGTTTATGCCTTTAGAATATAAATCTATTTGAAAAAAACAAACACCACTATATTTTAAAGAAGAAGATGGACTTGTAATTTTGATAGCAACATTGTGGCAACTTCTTTCTGAATTTTTCCGCTTCTTTCCTGGAAACTACACAAAGCCAAAAGGAGAATGAAACAAACATACCCACAAGCAACAGACTCAGCTAAACAATAAGAAGAAAATCTACACACTACAAAAGCCACCACACCTGAAACCAGCAGAATTGGCAGTGGAAGCTCTAACAGTATAGTGGGGAGAAATGAGCAATGTCCAGAGAGCTCAATACTGAAAAGCTCAGAAGTATACCCTCCGGGATAAGAGAAGGCAAAACTCAGAGCTAGAACCACTCAGAGAGGGGCTAAGATAAGCAGGCCGTGGATATTGAGGGAACTAGCAAAGGATCACACAGAAGCTACTCAGAGGGTTCCAGAAGCAGCGTCTTCTAAACGTGAAGAGGCACCTGAGAAGACAAGCCGTTAATGTGTTTTCCCAAGAACACGCCACATGCCACCCATCCCCAAGGCCTCAGTCAAATGTTAACAGTCACAATGACATCTCAAAGCTGGAGGAAATCCTAGGTTGTTGAGATGGGCGTCCTAAACCTTCGTGGCAGGTGCAGGAGATGTAGGACCTTATTATATTATCTGAACTTCCGGTTGTATCTTGAAAGCTAAGAATATCAGTAGAGCATTGTTCGATCTAACCTTCGTGGCAGGTGCAGGAGATGTGGGACCTTATTATATTATCTGAACTTCCGGTTGCATCTTGAAAGCTAAGAATATCAGTAGAGCATTGTTCGATACTATACGAGCTGGGTCCCCGGGTCATGAAGCTACTGTTAAGCAGCGGTGATGACAAGGTGTGCCTATTTTTTTCCTTGAGGAAAGTGCTACGTGGAATAAAGAGACATTTAAGGAGAAAGTTATAAGTATAAACTCAGGGACTTTTGGGGACTGGGTCTGGTTTGGACTTCCTAATTTTTCAACCTGTCTGTCCTGGCCTCATCTGGCGAGGATAATGTAGAGTTAAGTCATGCATGCAGTATGGTGCACATTAAGTCTCATCGTAAGCATCAGACAAGGCATACATTTTTAAATCATGATTTTACAGTAAAAGTTGACTTTGTCAAACTGCTCAGTGGTTCGTGGATTCCAATGGGGAAGAGAAAAAAAAAAGGAGTCCGAGTTTGTAACTTTGGGCTGCTGTTTCCCTGTAGGAAGTGTCTCTCTCTTCGTCTACACAACAGCAGTATTCCAGCAGGCAGAATAGTAAGATTTAAAGTGAGTGAAGAAAAAAGTAGAAAACAGCTAAAAACCATGGATCTCTGCACTCCAGTCCTCAGCAGGAAACCATTAGACAGTCACACCTTGAACCTCGCAGCTTTTGTCTCTACAGTGAGGTCTCTTTAATAATTAGTTTACAAAGGAAGTCAGTCACTCACGATTAAGAAAATGCAAGGAGCCCGGTTTGGCTCAGTGGATAGAGCGTTGGCCTGCAGACTCAAGGGTCCCGGGTTTGGTTCCGGTCAGGGGCATGTGCCTTGGTTGCGGGCACATGCCCAGTGGGGAGTGTGCAGGAGGCAGCTGATCGATGTTTCTCTCTCGTCGATGTTTCTAGCTCTCTATCCCTCTCCCTTCCTCTCTGTAAAAAATCAATAAAATATATATATATAATGCAAGGAGACCCTCAGAGCGTACACAGCAGATTAGGATTCCCACACATTCCAGTTCAGTCTGGGGGTCCAGTCGGGGAGAGTGAGGGCTCTGCCATGCAAGGCCCAGAGGTTCACCAGCCACCCATTCAAACCCCGAGACGTGCACCCAGGGAGCACTGTTCTGGAATATTCCACTGGGGTCTGTGCTGTAGGTTCAGCCTCTTGCAGTTGAAACACACAACATCGGCCCTGTACAATGCCATGCTGTTAGCTTGCCAGGGCTCAGCGTCACACACACAAGTCAATCTATACATTGGGAACAACCCGGAATCACGAAACGAAGCACAACAGAACAGAGGACAGGAAAGGAAGCACTGACGCCCAATGGGCGGGGGACTCCACTCGCTCACTCTCAGCTGTACCTGGGGATGGTCTGTCCGGGCCCAAGGAAGAGGAGTTTGCCCGCGTGCGATGCTTGGCTGGGACGGGTCTGCTTTTCCCCAGCAAACCTGGCAGCTCCATCTCATCACCACGAAACTCCTGCTCCTGAGCTACCACGGTCTCTCCCCGCCTCCCAGGCCATTAGTAAACACTTCACAGAGGAGCCGTGCTTTGCCGGGGATCAGGGGTTTTCGTGTCTATCCCTGATTCTGCCCGGGCTGCCGCAGGAGGTATCTTTGCTCTAAATGTGCAGAGGTGGCTCCCAGAGCCCAGGGGGCGGGGGGGGCGTGGGGTGCCAAGAATTGCCCAGGAGATGAGGCCAGAGTGTCTGGGCAGGTGTCTGAGCCCAGCTGCTCTGACTGCCCTGGGCTGCAGGGGCCTGGATGGGCTAATGGAGGCAGATGGGGGTCAGTTGCCTCGAGGGCTGCCTCCCCCTGGCAACCCCTCGGGTGCATCCATTTCGAACCAGCCATAGCGGGGAAGGGGGGCTGGAGACAGAGCAGGAGAGAGGGTTGAAGGAAGGAGGCTTCTCTTAGCTCCGCAGCACGGGTTCCCCTCTCAACTCTGGGGACCAGCCCTCCCCTGGGGGAGGAGGCCCACAGTAACAATACAACTCCACTTTGTATGTAATTCACAAAACAAAGCACCTTTCCATACATTTTTTTTGGGTTTCATTTTCCTGATGATCAGTGTTATGAATGATGGTAGCTTATATTCAAAGAACAATTTGCAGTTGATCCCAACTACTTCAATGGATCCCCCTCACAGCCATATGAGAGATATTATTCCCATTTTTCAGGTTAGCAAACTGAGGCTCAGAGGCAATCATTGGCACTGCAGCTGCTGCTCAGGAATATGGGCCCTGTGACCAACCATCACATGCTTTTCTCCAGCTTCACAAAGGCAGGAAGGCTTAGCACCCTGAGGGCAGAAGGCACAGCATACAGACCCACCAGCATGCTGTATGGGAGCGGGGCCTAGAGCTTCCTGCTGGGCCAGGCAATGACCTTCACTTGAGGGGTCATGGGGAGCGGTGCGCGTGCCCAGGGTGGCAGGACAGCCTTTGTGCTGGTTTCCACTCAGTACAGAATTCCAGGTCCGCGATCTCTTATCCGCTAATTTGAAATCCAAAGGGCAACATGTGTTGTTTCATAACTGACGTGAGGCTATTTATACGATATCTGCAGGGTATGGTATTTCTAAAACCTGGAAGATTCCAAATTCTGGGACATTTCAGCTATGGGGCCATGGGCCTGCATCTCAGTATGTTAATGGCTGTCCTGGGCTGTACTGTACGGCAGCCCTGATCACACCTGCTCCACCAGGCTCTCCAGTGCAGGCTGCTCGGGGACCGCCCCCACCCCTCGGGGCACGGTGCCTGGCCTTCCGCACCTTCCTGACTCTGAGATCCTTCCCTCAGGCGATGTTCTCCCCTGCTCCTCACGCACTGAGCTCTCTGCTCTCTGTGTCTGTCTGAGGCAGTCCCAGTCCCACCTCTCCCCACTTAATGCCTGGTCTCCAAGGCCAACTTTCCCCACTTCTCTCTGCCTGCTTCCTTCCTTCAAAACTCCTTTGAGAGAAAAATAATTGACTGTAGTTACGCTAAGGGAAAAACAACCCAAGGAATCTGACACCAATGTGTGAATGACTCAGCAACTATCTCCCAAGTGAATCTCTAATTGGTGCAATTTCAAGCCCTCTGATTACGTGCAGAATGTTAGTGGGAGATTCTGTGCTGAAGAAAAGATTCAGCGGCATCCTTCCTGCAACAACACCCAAGCCTTGTCCAGTCTTTGCCTGGACCTTTGCGGGAGGGCCCTGGCTCCTGGCCCCATCTCTCTTGGTGAGGGCAGTGCCCAGTCTGATGTGTGGTACCCAGCTCTGGCCTTCCTTTTGTTGCTCTTGTAGGGCCATGAGGAAAGGACAGGGGCTGGCTGGCACTGGGGTAGACCAGCAGAGCAGATACCACTGAGTCTTATGGTCACAGGAGTGGCCTCTGTAGAAGGGTGGCCACTGGCCTGGGCATGCAGCATGGGTATCTGCTAACAACGCTAGGAGAGCTAGTAGAACAGTCTCCGTGAACATCCTTTCCTGGAAATGACCCGAGACCAGCAGAGCAGATACCACTGAATCTTATGGTCACAGGAGTGGCCTCTATAGAAGGCGGCCACTGGCCTGGGCATGCAGCACGGGTGTCTGCTAACAACTCTAGGAGAGCTAGCTGAACAGTCTCCGTGAACATCCTTTCCTGGAAATGACCCGGTGATTCATGGAGCCAAGACTTAAGGGGTGATGGTCCATGCAGATCAATATATAGACCTGAAATTCCCAAGAAGGGAGTTGGTTTATGGAAGAAGGAAAACATACATCATACTTGGAAAATTTAAAATAGCTCTCCTCCTAGAGAATAAATGAAAAATTCATTTCTACACTCCATCCTCTGAATCCACTCAACTTGCTGTTGAATAAATTTTTTAAAAAGCCTGACAAGATCCATAAATTTTCTGGCCTCCCCGCTACCCCGCAGGAAGTGTTTTGGTTTCCACTCAGCACCAGAAAGGGCAGTTTCAAGGAAGGGACCCAGTGCCTCACTGCGGAACCAGCCCTGCCCGGAGCGATGGCAGAGGACGGCCACCAGGCGGCAGTGGGTGGCACCATGTCGCCCTCCTCCCGACTGGAAAAGTCTACCTCTCAGGTGTGGCTGAGAACACAGCCTCGCCAGGCCTGGTGTTACTTAGTAGCCTGGGAAGGTAGAGCAGAGCGGTGGTTAGCTACCTCCAACCCTCTTTCCATCCTTTCTCCCAGCACACACTCGCGGACTGTCATGGGGATGGTTGTGCACCACGTGCTGGGAGGTCACAGGCGAGGTGACTGACTCTGACCTGTCTGGCAGGAGCGTCACTGGACTTGGGCCCTCACAGCAGAGACTTCCAGGCAGGAAAGGAGGTCTGGGGGGAAGAGAAGAGCATTCCAGGCCGTGGAGCATCATGAGCGAGGCATGGGAGTGGGAGGGAGATTGCAGGTAGGACTGGGAGGCCAGTGCGTTAAAGCCCCAGGTTCACTGTGGAGGGTGGGGCAGAATGAAGCTGGGAAGGGGTGGGGCCTGGTTTGGGGGCCTCCAATGTCATAAAAGGGGCTAGACTTTATCCTGAACTAATTTTTACTTATCTAGAATTAATAAACCAATCCCTATTAAAAATGGATGTGTGTGTGTCTTTGTGTATGTGTGTGTGTCTGTGTGTGTGTCTGTGTGTGTGTGTGTGTGTGTGTGTGTGTGTGTGTGTGTGAGAGAGAGAGAGAGAGAGAGAGAGAGAGAGAGACTAAGACTCTGGGAGAGTACGTTTTTGAACACTAGATATTAGCCCTTATATTGCAGTTGATTATTTATGATAAGAATTCTCCATTCTCCCACCCTCACCTTTGATTGCTTCACTCCTCCATCGAACACACACCAGAGAGGGAGAGCAAGGGACACAGAGAGAGGGGAGACCTAAGCTGGTAACATTTGTCATTTCTGGCCTGTTCATGTCCCATAGCATGTCTGGGAGAAGCAGGAACCAGAGTGATGATGATGTCAAGCCATCTAATTGTCAACAGAGAAGAGAATGGGGGCAGGAGGCGAAATCTGGAATGATGTTTGACCGTCTTCCCCTGATGGAGACACTGTTAACTGTAAGGAAGAAAGTGAGTGCCTGACTGCGTGTGGGTGTGCTTGTAAAGTATGGGCCAATTGAGAAAGTTTACATATATATCATGTGTATATGTGTGCATATACACATATATTCATACTTATATCTAATATGCATATGGTATTTTCCAAAGTGCTGGTACGTCCTTTATCTCTTTAAACCAGCCGTGGGCAAACTACGGCCCGCGGGCTGGATCCGGCCCATTTGAAATGAATAAAACTAAAAAAAAAAAAGACCATACCCTTTTATGTAATGATGTTTACTTTGAATTTATATTAGTTCACACAAACACTCCATCCATGCTTTTGTTCCGGCCCTCCGGTCCAGTTTAAGAACCCACTGTGGCCCTCGAGTCAAAAAGTTTGCCCACCCCTGCTTTAAACCCATACAACAACCTGGTGAGCCATGTCGTAACAGTATGTTTGAAATAAATTCCCAGGAAGTTAGCTGACTCACTCAAGATCTTCCACTGCAGGAGAAGAGCTGGGACCACGATAATTCAGGTCTAACTCCAGTCATTTTTCTTTCTTTTTTTTTTTTTTAAATATATTTTATTGATTTTTTACAGAGAGGAAGGGAGAGAGACAGAGAGTCAGAAACATCGATGAGAGAGAAACATCGACCAGCCGCCTCCCGCACACCCCCCACTAGGGATGTGCCCGCAACCCAGGCACATGCCCCCGACCGGAACCAAACCCGGGACCCTTCAGTCCGCAGGCCGACGCTCCATCCACTGAGCCAAACCGGTTCCGGCTCCAGTCATTTTTCTAAGAAGTTATTATTGAGATCATTCTCAACTCAAGTTTAGTTGGTTTTAGATTGGGACATAATATGTGGAGCTGGAAGTATACCAGAAACTCTGGGACATACATACCGTCACTGAAATTATACCCCAGTCACCTTCATTATTAAACTTTTTATGAGTGTTCTTTTTGTGATGCCTTCAATAAATCTTAAATATACACAAAGAAGAAAGAGGGTAGGATAATTTCAATTCAAGTTTTGTAAAAAAAATTTATTGCTTATCATATCATAATCATTGTGTTATATTACAGGCACTATTTAGAAAAAAAATCATGTTCTTTCCTCAAGGGGAATAAATTCATGCATTACCTCGAACAAGAAAAGTATAAGTAGGAATTATAATACCAGTGTAATAAAATACATGGAACCACACAGACGGATGATAAAGCAAGTGGAGGTTATTCACTCGGCACAGTTTGTCCTGTGCAGTGTCTTAAATCTGATTTTACAAAGAGAACGTCCCCAAAGGGGAAAGGCTTATAAATAAAGACAGGATTTAGAAGCAGACGCCAGACTAAAGCCTCTAAATTCTCCCCTCGATCAGTTTATGCGCCAGAAGTTAATGTGTTTGGATGGCATTTGTTTATTCCTTGCAGAACGGCCTCTCCAGGATTGGGACGTGTGAGGTTCTGCCTTTAACCTGCCTGAAGGCCAGCGTAAGCAGCAGCCGTCTGAAAGCTACCCCTGCATCTGTCCATGTTATTCCTCAGTGCTCCTCCCATAAAGCTCCGAGTGAAGACTTTCTTTTGACATTTTATGCCAACAGAAACCTGGTCCCCTGAGAACCAGTATTTCTGTTCCAATAACACCGCCAATTCTGTTTTCCTTTTTGGCCTCCTTGTCAGCAAGCTCAGAAGAATACTCCTGTCCCTTATAATGAGCACATCTGCTTTTTTTCTTGCCTTCTTTGATTTTTCTAGTTTATGAAGTCCTTGTTTATGTGATATTTGTTGTAAGCGACTTCAGGTCCTTTTAAAAAAGGGGCTTGAGTAGAAAAGCAAATAAATGCAAACTCTCTCTCCCCGCCACCCCACCCCAAGCAGACAAGGCATTGCTGACATCTGGGTGTTAGGCAGCAGCACCCACTGCTGGCTGCCTTTCCAAGACGCAGCAGCTGCCCGGGCTCCGAGGGGAGGAGCAGGAAGGAGAGGAGGCAGCAATGCTCCTATGGGCGCTGCCAGGGCTTAGCTCTCTGCATATGAACTTCCCGACTCTCTGCATCTAGTGGTTTATGGACTTCCTGGTCCACTGAGCATCTGAAGAATGTGTTCGTTGCCTGGGAAACGGGAGAGGAGTCCCAGAGGGAAATGGACAGAGCAAGGCTGACTGGTTACAGGACGGACGGCTGCCCTCTCCCTCCGCTAGGAGGGAGGTTCTATTGGGCCCTTCCGTCCTTTTCTGATGCACATGCTAAGGAAGGGACAGGAAAGAAAAGAGGCTGCTTGCAGAGGGAAGTGCCACAGCGAGGCCCGTTTATCTCCCATGACCCACGTGTGCTGGAAGTACATAGCAATGCCCCGTGTCTGCGTTTATGGGCAAATATACCGGCTGCCAATGTGTGTCCTCCACCCAGGGCACTGCCTCTCCTGAAAAGTGGACTTTCGTTTTAGTAAAGTAATTTTTCCCCCACAAAATACAAAAGAATGTAATACATTGTCTTTATTGTCTGACATTACAGATTTGTTTTACACTTTCTTTCTTTCGTTCTTTTTTTTTTTTACAGACCAGGGGAATGAATAAAGATAAAAATGTGTCCAGCATTTTGCAAACATCCTTTGTTACACACAAACACACACAATGAATAATAGGAAAGAGAATACAGAAGAATTAAAAGGCAGGTTGAAATCTGACAGGCTGTGGTTCTAATCGATCCATGGGAAGAACGTGAAACTTTCTGATAGTCCTGGGGGGCGGGGCGTATTGTCATACACAGCTTGGTACATGCACTTGGAATGAAAGCTGCTTTGTTTTGCTTCCACTGGATTATTATTACTGGTTGAGTATGCTGCTCCCTCTGCTGGCCTCTGAACCGCAGGGTTAGACACAGGGTTTCCCTTTAGGAGTTTGGGCTGCAGTGCGAGCTGCAGAGTCCCTATTCCTAGACATGTAGGTGAGGACCCCGGGAGCTCCCAGAGCAGGAAGGTCCTCAGTGATCACAGGAGGCTGAAGGTGTCCTATTCTGTTGAGATGACTGTCACCCATGGTAGGGATTCTGCTTGGGAACACGAAACACTGGGACGTGAGTAAGTACTGAGTCCCGTCTTTCTCTCAAAAGACTGAACACGTTTTGGTGAGCAGTGGGGGAACTGGGGCTTAAGAATTATGTAATAAGAAGAGACAGAGTTGGCTAATTTTCTATAAAAAGAGGTTCCACACTTTTTCAGTAAAATGGAAACTGACTGGTTATTCGTAGCATCACAGGGCATCCCGTGAGCGTCTGCGTGCTGTGGGTTTTACCGAGTGTACCTTTAGCATCTGTGATGGGCGCCTTTCTATTAGGAAAGGGGTTTGCTCCACAAGCCAGAAAAGCATGAGGCTGGTTTGAAATTGAGACCCCCCCCCGGAGATCTAAAAAGTGTCCCACAAATTACAATCTGTTCCCCTTCTCAAAGGTGTAATAGTTCTTCTTTTGATGCTGACAGTAGCCATAGTTATAAAAAGGGCTAAATTTAATATATTTCAGTTCAAGCACTCTATCGAAAAGGAAGCAAATTAGTATGATTTTTTTCTCTCTTTCCAAACTGAAGCATGAACATACATTAGAGGCAAAAGCAATGAGAAAAACAGCAGGACGGCAGGCCCCTCCACTGTTAGTTAAGACCTGCAGTAGGGAACATAACTTACTCCCTGCTTCAGTTCTTCTTCCTACAGAAAGATGGAACCAATAACAGTTAGGTTACCCAGGGTTCCGCGAAGAGCATACATACAGGGTGAAGGGGTGCAAGGTGGGGACACATCAACACAGCTCTGGTGGCAGGTCAGCTCTTTTTACCTCCGTGACCTCAGTCCTAAGTCTTAGGTGTCAGCAACTATGGACTCATCTCTTTTCTCCCTGTGCCAACCATCTTTCAACACAACCTGTCTGTCCTGGTGTTTGTACATCCTGATACCTCAGACTGCTCATTAGGTCGGTGCCCCGATGGCTGGTGGTAAATAGACTTCCATCCCAGTGCTATGGTGATAGAATTTACAGGAATATAAGCAGGGGGGTGTCTGCAGAGCTCCCTGCCACTCAGTGAAGAGGAAGATGGGATCGGCCTTCTTCATTTGGTGTATTCGGAAAGGAAAGCAGAAAGAGCTTCTCAGGGTCATCAAACGAGAGAACCGGCCAGAAACAGCACCAGGTTGCTAATGATCTAGTCCCGTCTTAACACACACAGAACAACAACAATCGCATTCTACACATCGCATGTCTAACACGCTGACGGTAGCGTAGTAACGAGAAAGCTTCCCAACACTGATGGCGGGAAAAGTCAACTAAGGAATAAAAAAGAGCAAAGAAAACAAAAGAAAGAAGTGCTAACTACAGCAGGGCCTGGCAGGTTCCACGGTAGGTTTGTACCAGTATTTGTTAAAGAAAAGGAAGGAAGGAAGGGAGGGAGAAAAGGAGGAGAAAGAGAAGAAGGAGAGGAGAAGGAGAAGGAGAAGGAGAAGGAGGAGGAGA